CTCAGAACCACACACATGAGCGTGCTAGTGTAATTCCTAGTTTAATATGGCACACCTAAAGCCCTATAATCTCTCTCACTTTTTTAAAGAGATTTTTTGCTATAGGGAGCATGAACAGAGACAAAGAGACAGAGAGACAGAAAGCAAGAAATTGTCCCCCAGTGGGGACGGCCATGCTATCCTCTAAACTTCTCCATTCTCTCAGGATCTTGGGCATGCATGCACTGCATGCATGCACATGTGCCTGTTGTGAGGTTTAAGCCGCCGGGTCTGGGTCTCAAATCACGGTCCAGTACATGGGAGTCCAGGGATGTAACCATTGCACTATCAGCAGAATAGTTCCATATTCTCTCTTAATTACCTTATAGATAATAGTCAACTAACTTCATGGCTTATAAGAACCAAACTGGTGTGTAGGTTAAAAAAAATGTTGGGGACCAGCAGTTAGTGTAATGGCTATGTCGCTGGACTCCCACGTAGTCAACTGCGGTTCGAGCCTCGGACCCGGTGGCTTAAACTCACGCTGGGCGCATGTGCGTGCGTGCCCAAGATTTCGAGAGGAGAATGGAGGAGAAGGGATTGTGGTGTGGTGATATCTCGCTTTCTGTCTCTCTGTCTCTCTCTGTTGGTCTGGCGAGTGCACATGTCCTATAGCAAAAATATCTCCAAAAAAAAAAAAAGAGAAAAATAAAATGTTGGAGCTGGGCAGTAGAGGATATATAGGGAATATTACACTACTCTACTTCACTATTGAAAATATCTATATTTACATTTATATTTTCCATAGTAAAAGTTTAAAAATGGCTTCAGGGGTTTTATTAGTTTCTATAATACTCAGTTGTACTATGAATTATGATATGCTATTTCAAATATCGCAATGGAAAAAATGTAGATAAGTCAGAATTAATTAGGAGGGGAGCAGCTAAAATGATGTCTAATTAACAATACACATAAATTTGGTTGAAATAATAATATTTAACTTGTCCAGAAACAAAATGATGAAATAATATTATCTAATGAATTAGTATAGTAAAAGAAAAGGTTGTTTTTCCTGGTTTCTGATATGACCAATATTTATCAGCTTTGTAGAAAGAGTACTTTGGGGTCTTTAATAATTGGAGTTGTCCAAAGATGAAAAAAAAAATCTGTTTTGAAATACAGTGAATTGGATTGCTCTATGAATAAAATGACATTTGATTTTTGTACTTTTATTTATTTATTTATTTATTTTTAGGTTTTTGCCATATGGCATGTGTGGTCACTGAAAAGAGGCAGAGAGAGGGAAAATGAGAAACCACCCTCCACTCCAGAGTGGATGGCCATACCACAATCCTTTGTCCTTACTCCCTTGTCCACATGCGCATATACCCAGCATGATTTTCAAATCAGCAGGTCTGAAACTTGGATCACCCCTGTGGGAGTCTAGCAAGTTAACCATCACACCTCCTGCTGGCCCGGGAATTCAAATGTTTATAGCTTCTTTTAACCTTAGCTACTCAGAATTTGCTAATGAATGGAACTTTGATCTCTCTAATTGTCAGCAGTCTCCAAAATTATGCTGGGGCCAGGCAGATGACATAGCTGTTACATTGCTAGATTTCCACATGGCTGACCAGTGACTTGAAAATCACTCCAGGCACATCTGTGTGTGTGTGTGTGTGTGTGTGTGTGTGTGTGTGTGAGCCCAAGATCCCGGGAGAATTGAGGAGAAAATGGTTTTAACTCAACACATTTACAAAAATCTCATTCGTATGAATTGTTAAAAGTTTATTTATTTCTTCTGAAAGAGAGAAGAGAGAGAAAGAAGTGCCAGCAGGGTTCTCATGCCCTGATCCTCTTCCCAGCCTCATCCAGCCAGGATCACGGGCACATGCATGTGCACTTAGCATGTACAGAGAGACCTTGGGATACGAACCTGGGACTTTCAGGTTTCCGTATCACAGAGCCTTCCACTATCACTGTATCATCACTGCTGGTCTCATTTGCTCATGAATTTATTATTTTTTTCTAAGTGTTTCACACCACTACTCTCTTTTGGTCATTATAAAAAATGCTTGAAAATGAGAGGGATGGATTGAGGGAAAGGAGACTTAGCCACTTCGCCCAAAGTCCCATTGCTTATTAACAGTGAGCAGTGCTGAAGAGGTGCTAGACAGGAGGAGAGCCCAGCTTTGAACCTTGGACTACTAATTATGAGTTTAGTGCTCTTTTCACTATGCCATGTGACCTTTCCAAGTAAAATACCACATCTTTCCAACATGTTAATTAGCTTTTAGGGTGACTTTGAGGTAATGATTCTTCCAGGAGAGGAGAGAGAGAGAGACACAGTGAGAGAGACAGAAAGAGAAAAATAAAAAATCCCAAGTGAAATATTCCAGTTAACCCTAGAAAATGAATTTGATTCATTTTTCTTATGGGCCTAATCAGGATTGAAATTAATTTGAAATGATAGCTTCAGTTTTCTCATCTTTGGTATGCCATATAGAGCTACTTTAAAAAGTACTCAGTGACATTTTAGAGTAAATATGACAAGCAAATGTAAATGTAATTACACCAGTCATATATGGTGTGAGTCATTTGTAAAGTTCACTACGAAGGAGCTATACTGCACAGAATCCATTTGTCACTTAAGAAAATGAGATCATCTGCTTTTACATATGAAGGGAGAAATTTTAGCAGTGCACTAAGCTCCATTGAAGCTAGAAAATGTCCAAATTACCATTCTCTAGTGGCTTGGATTTTAATAATGTAACTATGAGCGTATTCCCCATTCACTCCTTTCCTAATGAATGCTGATAGAGAAAAAGAATAGAAAATTTGAGGAATGTGATATATATACATATATATATAAATAAACATAAATATATATCTGTATATACATATTTAACTTTCATATTTTGAACATTTAAGAGGATGTTTGAGTAAAAAACAGATGGATAGCTCTGCTATTTAAGCTCAAAATTTTATGGCTCTATAATATATTTTATAATACACAAGTTACATTTTCTGTGAGATAATATTGCAATTAGCAAACAATTATTTTATAATCGGCCATCTCAAAGATGCAAAGGTTGAACTTGCATTGAACTGTTGCTATATAGGAGTACTAAGTGCTTAAAATAGAAAAAAATAAAGGTTTCTCAGGAAGTAGGCTCTCTGTTGATAAGTATCGTACTTGCTTTTGAACATAACTGTTTCTAAGAAGTGGAAGTATAGAACAAAGGAGTATGTGCTACATTATAGAAAATTATTTCAAAATGCATACCTTGGACTTGTTCCTTCCGCCCTGACAAGTTCTCTGTAGATGTAAGTCAGTGACCTTGCCTAGTCCTGTTTAAAGAATGAACATGAGAGCACAGCATGCTGATAGAGGATGTGAAGCCATTAGCTCAAGGGCAGAGTGAAGTAAGGGAGCTAAGATACTTATCCACTCTGCCCTCTTTACTGGATTCAAAATTTGGCCTTTTCCCGTGATTGATTTGCTGGGATTGTTAAGACCCCCTTACTCTTTATCAGCGAGAGCTCTCCTATCTCCTGAATGCTGGAAGACAAGGGGAGTTTCATTTCCTGTGTGTGTTCTTGCTACTAAGCTTTGCTCTCCATAAATCAGTCTAGCAGCTAGAGCTAGAGCTAAACATGTCTCTAGGTGTGTATGTGTGTGTGTGTGTGTGTGTACACACAATAATTTTATATATCTATAAAATAAATTTTACAGATATATAAAATTTTAAATTATGCAGTTGTGTCTACGTACTTTCTTATAACAAGAGTTCTTCCTTTTTTTAATTTCCTTTTTCCTCCAACATTCTTTTCTTTCTCTTCTTCTGATATCTGCTTCCTTCTTTCTTCTTTCCTTTCATTCTTCCTTCCTACCTTCTTTCTTCAGTTTATCCTTCTTCCATTTTTGCTTGCTTTATTTGTTTATTTTTTAGAATACCCTATATTTTTATGCTATGATAGTTCCTTGAGACTCTAAAATATTCAGTTTGGAAGATTTTTTGGCAACTATAAAAACCAAAAGATGATTTGAGTAATTAGGATTTTAATTTAATAAGAGTATAGTGCTTTTTCACTTAACAGACTTAACCCTGAGAGTAATAATTGAGGATAGAATAAATGTATATTTATTTGTTTGTATTTGGCCTCTACTCTTTATATAAAAGTAGGTTATCTGTTCCTTACTCAATGGCTTATGGGTTTACCATTTAAATACCTATTTTGGAAGTTCTCAGGAAGGGAATTGTCATTTACATGTGAGGAACTCAAATGAAATCTCATCATAAAATGTGAACAGATGTTGGGCCAGAGGAAGTGCAATGGTAACACAATTGGACTCCACAGGAAGGTCTTGAGCTTGTGTTCCAAGGCCTCCTTTAAATGCTGATTATGTGTACCCATAACCTAGACTGGCTGAGGCCAGGATGGATTGTAGCATGGAGACCTTACTGGAGAATTTACCTCTCTCTCTGTTTCTCTTTCTATATCTATATCTCATGGAAGAAATAAAACAAAAAGAAGCTTAAGAAAGTTGAACACATGTAAACAGTTCTGCCCCAGAGAAAAATACTAAAAAAAAAAATCTCTTTTTCCCTTACTTACATCTCTATTTATCTTTATACTTATATAGCTCTTCGATTTGGTACCACATTCATGATAAGGATCCACAACCTTCCTAATGTCTCCATTCAAAAGCGATGTACACAGAAGATGGCATAACGGTTACGTTGACAGACTCTCACTTAGTCAACTGTGGTTCGAGTCCCAGACCGAGCAGTTTAAAACTCATGCTAGGTGTGTGTGCATGTGGGCTCAAGATCCCAAGAGGAGAGTGGAGGAGAAGGGATTGTAGCATTGCCATCCCCCCGGGGGCTGATTTCTTGCTCTCTGTCTCTCTCTGTCTCTCTAGTGAGTGTGCACACCTTATAGCAAAAGTCTCTCCACAAAGAAAAAAAAAAGAGCTGTGTACAAGCAAAGCTAACCTGCTTCCCTTTCAGTCCAGGCCCACAGAGAGGAGGTCCAGCATAGGGAGGAATGTCTTGGAGATGCCTGGAGGCTTTTCTCTTCTTCAAGGCCTGGGGACACCAAGCAAAATGCATAGAAGTTTTTAAAACCTTACTTCTATTTATGTAGTTGTGTCCCTTGAATCAATATGTAAGCTTCTAACATTATTCTGGAAGCCTTTTTGTATAATAATATGACTTAGAATTTAATTTTATCCGATTACCTGTTATATTTTTAAATTTATTCGAGAACAGTTACTGAGCTTGTAATGATTGCATCAGGTTATATTTGGTTCTATAAAAATATTAACAAATATTTATTTAGAACCAATTGTATAAGAGGCTGATCAATGCTTTGGAGAGAAAAGAATAAAAAGTAGCAACCTTATAGGATTTTATAATCCAGCTCGGAAAGTTCTAAACATAGCCCCTGGAATAAATAACAATGCTAGTGAGTGTAGGTGGGTACCTAATGCGTGGTACAGAAAAGACTATGCAAGGCAGAGGGTAAGCTCATATTCAAATCCATGTGGAAACTTTAAGGATAGAGATTATCTAGAGTCAGGCAATTCTGCTTGTGCATAAATCAGGGTGGGTTTACATGGGTCATGGAAACTGACAGTTTTCTTTTTTTTTTTTTCTCATGTCTCTTTCCTGTCTTTTTTTTCCTTTTCCTTTCTTTTCTTTTCTTTTTTCCTTTCCTTTTGTTTCCTTTCCTTTCCTTTCCTTTCTTTTTTACATTTCTCTTTTTTTTTCTTTTCAGACAAACTTGACATTTAGATACTATCCTGTTTTCACTTCTGTTAAGATTCTAGTGTCTTGGGGCCAGCAGGTAGGCTGGTGGTTAAGGCACTGGACTCCCATATGACCAACGGTGATTTGAGTCCTGGACCTCGCAGCTTGCTTTCTTACTTTTCTTCTCTTTCTGTCTTTTTCTCTCTGGTCAAATTAAAAAATAATGATAAGGGGACCAGTAGGTGGTGTAGTGGTTAAGGCACTGGACACTCCCACATGGCTGAACAGAGTTCAAGTCCTGGACCTGGCTTTCTCACTTTCTCTCTGCCTCCGTCTCTGTCTCTGTGTGTGTCTCTCTCTGGTCAAGTCAAGATTAATGAATGAATAAAATTAAATAAAATAATTATGTTAAAAAATACATAAAATTAAAAATAAAATAATTTTAAAAACTTCCAGTGTCTCACACACTAATCCTCATCTCTTGTCCTTAGTGGCTCACACAGAGCTTGACACATGCAATGATACCTTCATTGGTCAGAAGTCATGGATAGTGAGTGCCACCAAGTCTTTGTTAATATGTGCTTTTTTTCCAGCTCTACACTCCTCCAGGCTATCTGGGTCTTGAAATTTCAGGAAAGAAGAACTTAATACTAATGTTATTATTATTAGTTAACTTGTTATTATTATTATTATTATTATTATTAGTTAACTCTCCTGTGTTTCCCTTATCACCAATTTAACAATTAGACACCAGGGCTTTAATGAATGTTGTGAAAGAATCATGATATTAAAAACTTAAGAGGTATTGCATTATAATAATAAAGTAAAAATAAATACCTAAAGATCATAACATTTCATTCAATAACTTACAAAAGTTTGGATTTTGTTTTTGGTTTTTAGTTTTTGGTCTAAGCCTTTGACACATTCTCGTTTGAGATTTTTTTTTTAAATAATTATTTTACTTAACTTTATTTATTTATTTTAATTTGAACAGAAATGGACAGAGAGAACGAGAGGGGGGGGAAGCGAAAAAGCAAACTGCCACGTCCAGGACTTGAACCACGGTTGGCCATGTGGAATCCAGCAACCTTAACCACCATGCCACCTGCAGTCCTCCTCATTTGGGATTACTAATGCCACTTGGAAAGTTTAGATTGACTACCTATTTTGTAGTTTTTAATTACACTAGGAAAAAAGTCACAGAGCTACAAAATATTTTCCAAATTGGAATGATTTTTGTTGATTCTTAAAATAAATTCTACCTGTAAAAAGTATAGATATTTGGGGAACCAGCAGTTGGCATAATGGCTATGTCACTGGACTCCCATTTAGTTGAACGTGGTTTGAATCCTGGGGCCAGTGGCTTAAACTCACACCGGGTGCATGTGCGTGCGTGCCCAAGATCTCAAGAGTAGAATGGAGGAGAAGGGATTGTGGTGTGGGTATTTCCACTGGGGTGGGGTGTGATTTCTTGCTTTCCGTCTCTCTGTCTTTTTCTGTCTTTCTAGTGAGCACATGTACCCTATAGCAAAAACCTCTCAAAAAAAGAAAAAAAAAAAGAAAAAAGAAAAGTATAGGTATTGGGTGAGCAAATTCATCACCCAAACATGATAATTTTCATTGCACCTGTGGTTCCATCAGGTTCCTCTGCAGTTTGAGGTATTTTCCACAGCTAGAGATAGAGCAGAAAGCCAAGGCCACATTTAAAAGCACAAATAGACATCAATACCCTTGGGGTTCCAGGTCACCTAGATGCTCATTAACCTTTTTGTGATTTATTGTTTGGTCTCTCAGCATATGGAATGGGGAACATAAAAGTCATCTGCTTGCTTGCCAAAAAGCTGCACATCGTGTGTGTGTGTGTGTGTGTGTGTGTGTGTGTGTGTGTGTCTATATACATAAAAGAGAGAAGGTGATAGACAAGGACGTGAGAGGCGTGGAAATACAAAATTGAGCATTATTTTCCCAGAGTGCACATAAATGCTTCCAGAGTAATCAAATGAATGAATCCTAAGTATTGTTAGACTCTCTCCTTTTAGGAGAGCCTCGAAGAACATATTTTGTGAGAGTCATTTCCTAAAGATTTTATTACTGAAATAAGTAGGAATTATACATGTTGTTTGTATAGAGAAGGGGAAAAAGTGTTATGGTTACAATACACTATTATGTAATGACTAGTCCCGTATTTTGTAAAATCAATCAATACTTGACAAAGATATGATCAATAGTTTAAAATCTTACAAGCTCTGCTTTTAAATACCTTCAAATGTCAAAAACAAAGTGGAAAACCACAATCATCTTTAAAAATGTCTACTGCTTGCTTTGATAAATTGGTTTTTATCTCCTTAGAAGTATCAAATTCAAAGAGAGTATCACGTATTTATTTTCTTTAAACATCTGAAAAATTTGAAATATGATTCCCAGAAACTTCTGAATTTCCTGTTCACCTTATTACAATTTTCTTAAATAATATTGCTTTCTAAAAGTCTACCCAAACGCTGGGTTAATGTTCAAAAGCATTGCCCACATGGGTTTGAATATTAACTTATATCTGCCCTATGCTAAATCCATATTAAAGTAAAATTAAGACTTTAATGACTAATATTTTTTCCACAATTATAAAATTAAAGTACTAAACAATATAGGGTAGAGTTGTTTTTTTTTTGTTTTTCTATTTTTTTTCCCCCAGAGTGCATGTTCACTGCATAAGAGAATTTAAACTGTTGAAAATAAAACAGATGCTCTGAAAATTATCAGGCTTGTATTTAATTTATGCAGTTTTCCCATTAATAGCATTATCTATTTAACACATCCATTACATATCCTCAGTGTTAATTTAGACAGAAAAAATGTAGCAACTTCAAAAGGAAATCTTCCATTAAATTAAGGATATTGACTTTAATGGATGTCCCAAATAGACATGGAAATTAACAGGATGAAAAAAAAAAAACAAGTTGATTAAAAGTGGTCCCATTATAATTTGTTATGCCACATAGAATAAAAATATTAAGACAGAATTCACTAAAAAATAGTGTCATCAAAAGCTCTTTGTACTCTAAACTACATGATTTTTAAAACTGTCAAATCACAGAATCATAAGTAAAATATGGCTTTCCACAATTCTGAGTAAATCTGTATCTTACAAAGAAACCCACCATGACCTTTACAAGGCTCACCTTGTTTAGATGGCCCAGGGATTGGAATCGGTGTTCAATACACTCCTTTGCTGACCTCATTTCAAACAATCCCTGAATCTTCTTGGCAGGATGAATTACTGCAGCTTCCCCTTCCCCTTTTTTCCTCTCCCATCACCTCACACCTTCTCAAAACCACTATTATGTCATTCTCTTGCTTAAAAGGCTTCTTTAGTAATTCACTCTTTTGGACCTAAAGTCTTTCTATTTTCCGAATGTTCCTCTTAAGGTGCCAATGTGCTTGAATCATCAACTAACAAATAGCTCAATTAAAGTCACAGGTGGCAAAGATTATCTAACAAATCCCACAGCATTTGCCACCAAATCCATATATGTCATGTACTGATAAATATATGAAGAAAAGAAGTATTATAGAGGGAATGATATCTGCTTATTCAGAACAGGAGAGGGATGTGTGGGGAAGGTTTCAGAAAGGAATTGAAATATGAGTCCTCTTGAAAGAGAACAAAAATTAGCCGAGCTCTGGTGAAGACAGTGGCACTGCTGTGAGAGACTAACCACAGAGGAAGGTTATAGGCTTGTGTCCAGAGACCTCCCTTAGTCCACTGGCACAGAGGTCCCCATGAGCTGGGATTGGCTGAGGCTGACGGTGGAGTGTGGCATCACGATTCTGTTGAGGTGCTGTCTCTCTGTCTTCCTTCTCAAAGAAAAGGTTAATTAATATATTTACAGAAAGAAAGAAGGAAAAGAAAGAATAAGAACTAACTAGGCAGAAAGCTATAGATAAGGGATTGGACATTTGGGGAAAATAAACACTGCAAGTATGATAGCTTGATGTAAAACAATGTGATATAGACAAAGACATTAAACTATCATCTTTATTTTTTTAAATTGTCTGTGCCCCTGGACTACATATGCATGAGGCACAGTAGGTAGAGGCATGGTCTGATGGGATATAAGAATAAAGGAGTCATCTATTACTGAATTACAGAACACCTTTAATTATATCATATGGGATTTGGCCATTAACTGAAAAGGCAACAGTAATTCAAAATGAGAGGGTGGACAAAAGGCATAATCATATTGATACAGAAACTCCAGCCTGAGGAACAGCCTGGCTAATGAATTGGAGAAAAAGCCACAGAAGTGAGGAAGACCTTTTAGTAAGCTACTACATGGCTTAGACTCCAGGCAGCTAATGAGGCATGAGCTAGGAAAAGAGGCTAGAGATGACATCAAAAATGCACCTGGTCAGATAACAATGAAAAATAAGAATAGTAACAGGAGGTATAAAATGAAGATCCTTGAGTCGTATATTTATGAAAGGGGACAGACATTTTCTTCTAGGAAAAGTGCTAGTAGATATTAATTCCACAGGGCCTTTTACTGTACATTTTTTTGTGACACCAAATTAGAATGATCTTTTTTATAGAAAAGAACATTTGGAGGAGAACCAAGCAGGGGTGACCTTATTTTCACACCAGTCATCCTGGAGAGACCTTAGTCTTAATAATCTCCTTTTAGTGGGTAGAAAGAGAGGGCAAAAGGATGTAATTCATAACCTTCCTCGGCAAACTGAGAGCAAGACCTATTGCCTTTTCTGCCTTTATTTTTTTTTCCAATTAAGTCCTAACTTTTCAATTTTCTAGGTCACTTTTCTAAGCTGTCCCTTTCTTTCTTAAAACCACTGACCCAAATACATAACTTATGAAGATAGAGGTTTTTACTGTTGCCCAAACCTCTGCAGAGGGATGCTGACGTGCAAGTGCTACCTTATCAGTCGGTCCAGACTTTTTGCCCCAGTTCTGATCTTAAATCACCACCGATCTGTTTTAAATCGTGCCTGTGGCTGTATGACCTCAACTTCGGAGTCTCAGCAATCACAGGTAAGAGAGACACAGCTAAATCAGTGTTGAAAGCATGGTGCTTCATGAGGTGCCCATGTTGCTTAGTTACCAGGCAACACCATTCAGAATGTAGAAACCAGGGATTCTGGAGTTTAGTTCAATCTCTTTCCAATAGATTTCTGTTCCCAAGGAGAAATCATTTAACTATTCCATCTCTTTGATGACTTGACTCTGTTGAACATTAGATTTTTATATAAAATATATGTAAGACAAACAGATTGAACAAAGCTCTTTGTGCACTTAAGAAAAAGAATTAAAAAAAATGAACAAAGTTTTTGTTCATAAGTGAGATATCTATTATGATGCTCTCTATAGCTAAATATCTTTCATTCAAGTTGTCAGTTGACATCAGCAATCAGTGAATTTTAATTTCGTTTGTATTTGTCAATGGCAGTGGCTTAATATGCAAGTATATGGTGTACAGAATGAGTTGGTGGGAAAACAAGAATGCCTGGAGAAAAAGCAGTTAGAGACTTTCAGGAGTTAAGGTGAGAGCAAAGCTGGTTGATAGGAGTGGAAGAATAAAGATTTAGAGGAAGAACAGGGATATTCAGGAGTTAAAAACCAGTAGGACTTGGTGATAAATTAGACATAAACGAAATGGAGACGTAAGTGACTGTGCGAAGTGTATCCGTGTTGGGTAAATTTCGTTTACAAGCTAAGCAATGCAGAGTGATTAAATGTATAAAATAAATAAAAAATTTAAAATTATATATAAATAATAAGAATAATAAACTTAATTAATTAATTAATTAATGTATTTATTTTTTACTTTCTGCAACCTAGTGATATCATCCAGGCTAGAAAATTCCTGAAAGAGGACCAGGCTGAAGATGGAGGGGATGCAAGGAAAAAGGAATTATGATGTAGATTTAGGAGACTGATGTGCTTTTTTTTTTAGTGTAAATGTCAAGTGGGCATTTGGACATATTTGGATCTGGAGCTCAGTTTAGACGTGTGTGGCAAAAATATAAATTTGAAGTCGTTGACCTGCTGATGGATTTCAATTCAAGAGTATAGATAAAATCATTTCGAGTATGGGATGAAACTAGGAAGAGGCAAAGAATAAGTTTATGGAAGAAAAACTAGAAAAGAAAGTGGGCTGTTAAAGAAAGATGACAGGTAGCAGCCAGAGACAAGAGAGAAAACAAATGAACAAATCAGAGCTGCTGTTCACAGACCTAATCATGTTCATAGCAACTCTTTTTAGTATTGCTCCTGAAAATGTTTAGGATCTTCTTCTTAACCCAGGTTCTCCAATGTTTCACCAGGACATGCTCAAACTTTCTCTCATTTGTAAGTGTCTTTTTCTCTCTCTCTTTTTAGGAAATTCTAATTTTTAAACAGTGTAATCATACCATTCATAGTCAAAATTGGTACATATTTTAACTTGAAAGGGGCATTATGAACAAATACTCTGGAAAAACAGTTATGAATAGGACAGACCAGAGAAATTTGGGATATAACAGTGTTGTGGTTGGAATGTCTGGGTCTCTTCCAAATCTCATGTTGAAACTTAATCTCCAGAGGCCAGCAGATGGCATAGTGAACTCCCACATGGTTGACCATAGTTTGAGTCCCTCACCTAGTGGCTTGAAACACACTGGGTGCTTCTGCCTGGGTGCTTAAGCTCCTGGGAAGAGAAGGGAAGAGAAGGGAAGAGAAGAGTTTATGGCATGACCACCACCCCCACCCCGGGGGAGTGATTTCTCATTTTCCCTTTCACTGTCTCTGTCTCTCTCTCTCTGGTAAGTGTATGTGTCCTAAGGCAAAACTTCTAAAAAGAAAAAAAAAAGAAAGAAGAAAGAAAGAAAGAAAGAAAGAAAGAAAGAAAGAAAGAAAGAAAGAAAGAAAGAAAGAAATGCTGTCTCTCTGTCTTCCTTCTCAAAGAAAAGGTTAATTAATATATTTACAGAAAGAAAGAAGGAAAAGAAAGAATAAGAACTAACTAGGCAGAAAGCTATAGATAAGGGATTGGACATTTGGGGAAAATAAACACTGCAAGTATGATAGCTTGATGTAAAACAATGTGATATAGACAAAGACATTAAACTATCATCTTTATTTTTTTAAATTGTCTGTGCCCCTGGACTACATATGCATGAGGCACAGTAGGTAGAGGCATGGTCTGATGGGATATAAGAATAAAGGAGTCATCTATTACTGAATTACAGAACACCTTTAATTATATCATATGGGATTTGGCCATTAACTGAAAAGGCAACAGTAATTCAAAATGAGAGGGTGGACAAAAGGCATAATCATATTGATACAGAAACTCCAGCCTGAGGAACAGCCTGGCTAATGAATTGGAGAAAAAGCCACAGAAGTGAGGAAGACCTTTTAGTAAGCTACTACATGGCTTAGACTCCAGGCAGCTAATGAGGCATGAGCTAGGAAAAGAGGCTAGAGATGACATCAAAAATGCACCTGGTCAGATAACAATGAAAAATAAGAATAGTAACAGGAGGTATAAAATGAAGATCCTTGAGTCGTATATTTATGAAAGGGGACAGACATTTTCTTCTAGGAAAAGTGCTAGTAGATATTAATTCCACAGGGCCTTTTACTGTACATTTTTTGTGACACCAAATTAGAATGATCTTTTTTTATAGAAAAGAACATTTGGAGGAGAACCAAGCAGGGGTGACCTTATTTTCACACCAGTCATCCTGGAGAGACCTTAGTCTTAATAATCTCCTTTTAGTGGGTAGAAAGAGAGGGCAAAAGGATGTAATTCATAACCTTCCTCGGCAAACTGAGAGCAAGACCTATTGCCTTTTCTGCCTTTATTTTTTTTTCCAATTAAGTCCTAACTTTTCAATTTTCTAGGTCACTTTTCTAAGCTGTCCCTTTCTTTCTTAAAACCACTGACCCAAATACATAACTTATGAAGATAGAGGTTTTTACTGTTGCCCAAACCTCTGCAGAGGGATGCTGACGTGCAAGTGCTACCTTATCAGTCGGTCCAGACTTTTTGCCCCAGTTCTGATCTTAAATCACCACCGATCTGTTTTAAATCGTGCCTGTGGCTGTATGACCTCAACTTCGGAGTCTCAGCAATCACAGGTAAGAGAGACACAGCTAAATCAGTGTTGAAAGCATGGTGCTTCATGAGGTGCCCATGTTGCTTAGTTACCAGGCAACACCATTCAGAATGTAGAAACCAGGGATTCTGGAGTTTAGTTCAATCTCTTTCCAATAGATTTCTGTTCCCAAGGAGAAATCATTTAACTATTCCATCTCTTTGATGACTTGACTCTGTTGAACATTAGATTTTTATATAAAATATATGTAAGACAAACAGATTGAACAAAGCTCTTTGTGCACTTAAGAAAAAGAATTAAAAAAAATGAACAAAGTTTTTGTTCATAAGTGAGATATCTATTATGATGCTCTCTATAGCTAAATATCTTTCATTCAAGTTGTCAGTTGACATCAGCAATCAGTGAATTTTAATTTCGTTTGTATTTGTCAATGGCAGTGGCTTAATATGCAAGTATATGGTGTACAGAATGAGTTGGTGGGAAAACAAGAATGCCTGGAGAAAAAGCAGTTAGAGACTTTCAGGAGTTAAGGTGAGAGCAAAGCTGGTTGATAGGAGTGGAAGAATAAAGATTTAGAGGAAGAACAGGGATATTCAGGAGTTAAAAACCAGTAGGACTTGGTGATAAATTAGACATAAACGAAATGGAGACGTAAGTGACTGTGCGAAGTGTATCCGTGTTGGGTAAATTTCGTTTACAAGCTAAGCAATGCAGAGTGATTAAATGTATAAAATAAATAAAAAATTTAAAATTATATATAAATAATAAGAATAATAAACTTAATTAAATTAATAATTAATGTATTTATTTTTTACTTTCTGCAACCTAGTGATATCATCCAGGCTAGAAAATTCCTGAAAGAGGACCAGGCTGAAGATGGAGGGGATGCAAGGAAAAAGGAATTATGATGTAGATTTAGGAGACTGATGTGCTTTTTTTTTTAGTGTAAATGTCAAGTGGGCATTTGGACATATTTGGATCTGGAGCTCAGTTTAGACGTGTGTGGCAAAAATATAAATTTGAAGTCGTTGACCTGCTGATGGATTTCAATTCAAGAGTATAGATAAAATCATTTCGAGTATGGGATGAAACTAGGAAGAGGCAAAGAATAAGTTTATGGAAGAAAAACTAGAAAAGAAAGTGGGCTGTTAAAGAAAGATGACAGGTAGCAGCCAGAGACAAGAGAGAAAACAAATGAACAAATCTGAACTGCTGTTCACAGACCTAATCATGTTCATAGCAACTCTTTTTAGTATTGCTCCTGAAAATGTTTAGGATCTTCTTCTTAACCCAGGTTCTCCAATGTTTCACCAGGACATGCTCAAACTTTCTCTCATTTGTAAGTGTCTTTTTCTCTCTCTCTTTTTAGGAAATTCTAATTTTTAAACAGTGTAATCATACCATTCATAGTCAAAATTGGTACATATTTTAACTTGAAAGGGGCATTATGAACAAATACTCTGGAAAAACAGTTATGAATAGGACAGACCAGAGAAATTTGGGATATAACAGTGTTGTGGTTGGAATGTCTGGGTCTCTTCCAAATCTCATGTTGAAACTTAATCTCCAGAGGCCAGCAGATGGCATAGTGAACTCCCACATGGTTGACCATAGTTTGAGTCCCTCACCTAGTGGCTTGAAACACACTGGGTGCTTCTGCCTGGGTGCTTAAGCTCCTGGGAAGAGAAGGGAAGAGAAGGGAAGAGAAGAGTTTATGGCATGACCACCACCCCCACCCCGGGGGAGTGATTTCTCATTTTCCCTTTCACTGTCTCTGTCTCTCTCTCTCTGGTAAGTGTATGTGTCCTAAGGCAAAACTTCTAAAAAGAAAAAAAAAAGAAAGAAGAAAGAAAGAAAGAAAGAAAGAAAGAAAGAAAGAAAGAAAGAAAGAAAGAAAGAAAGAAAGAAAGAAAGAAGAGAAGAGAAAAGAAAAAGAAAAAGAAAAAGAAAAAGAAAAGAAAGAAAAGAAAAGAAAAGAAAAGAAAAGAAAAGAAAAG